ACATAACAACTAGGGATCACTTCAAATTGATTGGACTCGTTGTGGGGCAAAGGTGTTTGTTGTCAACAGCCAATGAAACTTGAATCGGAAGCAGCCAATGAAATCCGGCCAGAATTGGCAAATTGCCAAGGCTCCACACGTAGTTGCCAACTTGTGCTACAGCACTGGAATTCACGGTTGAAAATACACCAACTACGACTCGTTCAGGCGATCTTTGGTGGTTGGATTTGCAACGAATGACTCTGTTTGCGATGAAGAGCTTGCAATGCATTTTCCGTGGGTCCTTGAAACCCCAGTGCTTCCGTTGAAGTCGAATCCTTCACCACACGTTGCTGATCGCCAGGTAACGAACATCCACGAGAGCTTTCCAGGCCAACGCATTTGTAGTCGTTTAACTTCAAATGTCACTTCTGACGTGTGACTCAAGCTGAATAATCAGCTAGTTTTTTTACGTAAACAAGCCAATTGCCCGACGTATCAGAACGGACGTGTCTCTTGGTCGACTGCAGACAGACTGTCTGTCAAGATCGGAGTGGTTTTCGCGTAGCTAAAACACTGATTGCGACGGTTTGACGCGCACTAGCTTGATCCGTAAACACGTCAGTAATTTAGATAAACAAACATGTGAATTGTGCCTCACTGGCGCGCATTAAATCATTCGAGATATTTTACCGTTAAAATGGTGAAAGGAAGATGTTAAGACGCGTAAATTTCCCAGATCGGTGATACGGTTGTACGTGAAGAACGTTAGCTCGTATTGGCAATTGAGTTGATTTCTCATTGCTTACTAACTCTGGCTAACTGATCACATGTGGAGCTTGAACATGATTGGTGGATCAAATGTTGTGTTTGTTACCAGTTTCTATCGATTTTGGGTCTGTAGGATGTCGACAAATGGCTGGACCACAAATTAATCAGACTTCCTCAAAGTGAGATTTCATGAAAGAAGCTGCATCACGCCATCGTGATGGTCGGATTTGGAATACGGGAGACGCCATTGTGAGTGACGTTCACAAAATCAACGATGAATTCAAACAAACGCGTGTATTCCTCAATTTCTACAGAAATGTCCGCAATTTACACTTATCTAGTGTTGCATTTCACTCGAATTAATCTAGCAGGTTGCCTTAAAGTGACTTTGGCGACCTAAATTGAATTTTGAGTGTCTAGTCGGTAGAAGATTTTGTGCGGGGTCTACCTGCCTTTTCTTTTCATGGTTATTAGAAGTTTACTTCACTGTCTGTGCTTGTCTGGATTTTCTTGGAACCGCTGCTCTGTTTCCAGGGGCCCATTCAGTCGATTTGAGTGTTAATTTGAGTTTATTTACGTGTTTATTGTAGCAGAAACAGATAGATGGAAGCACGATTAATAGGCGAGGTGTTTGGCGTGGAAAACCGGCGAAAACGGGATGCAGATTCTTAGAGGAAAATGAAAAACTTGGCGCCTTTCCTATCGTTAGTCTGGAATGAGGATGAGTTCATGTGGTTACAAAGAGGAGAGGCAGCAACGTAAAAAAACAAACAGACACACGCAACGATGAATAGAAAAAGCGCAATGTGGCGACAATGGATGAAGCGGCGTGGCTTCCTTGCGGTCCTTACCAAACAAGCTAAAAACGAAATGCGTTTAAGATAAAATCGATACAACCGACATTGCAACCTCCGGTAACTTGACGACACCTACTTAAACGCTATTCAAATAGCCGAAATCGATAGCGGGACAGACGTCCGCTGGTGGAACCCTCAACGGGTGGCCAGAATATGCAAGACTTACCCTTCCACACCTCGCCGAACTGGCCGGCGCCAAGGCGTTCAATCAGGGTGATCGAGGAACGCGGAATTTCCCAGTGGTCTTTAGTCTGGACGGAGAGGTCGCTGGTGAGAGGCGGGGGTCGTGGACAGGCGCGGGTAAGGCGTTGGCACAGTCCATCTGCCTCGGCTGAGTAATGATCGACGAGGTCGCGCAGGCTTGGAAATCCACGCTTCGTGGTAATGTAGAAGCCGCCACCGTCGAACTGCTTCACCCGGTAGTGCTTCACGGTGTCGGTGGTGTGGGAGGTCACCGGATCCACCTCCTGGTCGCGGACGGAGAGCGTCAGGGTTCCTGGAATGAGCAAACATGGGATGAACTATTCACTGAGGAAGCTGTTTACGCCTTTGAGTGATGATTTTGGCACAAACCAAACCGATACTATGTGTTTTGGATACTCAAGCAGCGGATTCACAAACGTTTGGTGTAAAACAGACAATTCCGATGAAACTGATTACATACTAGTTTTGACAATCTTATCGGTAAATGCGTGTTCGAACGATGCTATCAGGAGCATCAAATTGGGGTCAAGTGAAATGAATTAACACATCGGAAAACAACCACTGTTTCGGGGACCGACTGGATTCTCCACTGTATAAGTCAATTCTTACATTTCGTGACGAGATTTGAGCAAAGAAACGACAGAACACCACGTTGGTGCCATTTTTAAAACTCGACTATCATTGGGTCGTTGGCCACGAACAGATTCTGCTTCATCAACGTTTGATGTTGGAACTCCACGAAATACAACTCGCGGTTGTGTTCGTGGACGATGGACTACTAGAAGCGGCCTTCCAGAGATGAGTACTCAATGTCGTGCTAGGCTAGTTCAAGAGCTTGAGTTGGGTCCAAACGAACGACCACACGAGGAACATCGCTGCATGCCCAAAATGATGAGACTGCCTACTCCGGTTTGAAACCAGACTCAAA